TGAGGGGACCGTCCACGTGCTGTGAGTGGCCAGTGATCAGACCGTCCACGTGCTGTGAGTGACCACCGAGGGGACCGTCCACGTGCTGTGAGTGACCACTGAGGGGACCGTCCACGTGCTGTGAGTGACCACCGAGGGGACCGTCCACGTGCTGTGAGTGGCCATGAGACGGTCCGTGGAACAAGAACTCCCCCCTCTCCCCGTTCACGCTGTACTGACGGCCGGGAGCCAGGTGGTAGTGACCATCTCTCAGTGACGTCACACCCACTGACCCGGGCCCGCTCTGTGTCCGCTGGAGAGACAGGACATCTGCGACGTGTTCACCCTCGCGACCTTGACCCTGACCCTGACCCTGACCCCTGGGGTCACCGGGCGGACAGTTGTGAGGTGACGTGGAGAAGCCTGCACCGTCTGTGTCCACCAGGGGCCGCTTTCCCGCGCGCTGAGTGTAGTCGGAGAACAGCTCCTCCGTGGCCCTGTACTCCTCGGGCCTGCACGTGCGCGCGATGCTCGTCATGATCTGTTTCTTCATGCCCTCCAGGCACTCGTCCCCTACCTGGTCCAGCAACACCTTGATGATGTCGGGGCTGTAGCTGCTCCGGGGGGCGGCCGGGGGGGCCGCGGGGGGCGACGGGGGCGGGGCCACACCTACTCCTATTTCTCCTCCTCCTCCTCCTCCTCCTCCTTCCCTTGGTCTTCCCGACCCTTCCCCGCTCGCGTCCACACGTGACCGGAAGTTGTGATGTTGCCAGGTGTCGCGAAGGACGCCGGATGACGTCATGGATTCCGTGTCGCCCCCGGCAACGCTCTGTCCCACATGGCCCTTCACAGACGGCGCTCCACCTAGGGGCACTTGTATGTTATTGTTGTTGTTGCTGTTGCTGTTGTTGTTGCTGCTGTTGTTGTTGTTGTGGGGCGGGTAGGTCAGCCCGTCAGCAGAACTGTGGCCCGACCACCCCTTGGGGGCGGCGTTGTGAGAGGCGTTGTGAGGGTGGGCATGGTCCGGGGCGTAGAGAGGAGAAAAGTCGTCGCGGTGAGGACTGGCCCGGCCCAGTGACCCCACGTGCTTGGCGTGGCCGGGAGGGAAGGGTTGGGAGAAGGGGTTGTAGCAGTGCATCGTCTCTCCGGCGGGTCCCGTATATGTTCCCCCGGCCAGGGGTGTGGGCCCCAGCTGACAGTCCATGTCTGACGGCTCTAGCTTGATCTTGTCTCTCAGCTCCCACGAGAGCGCGGTCTCCGGGTATGAGTCGCTCACCGCCCCCCGCCCCTCCCCCGACCTCTGACTGGGCATGGCACAGTCCACCTTCTCCTCGTCCAATCGCTCGTGACTCGACTTAGACCGCCAATCCCTCTTCCGGTTCTGAGAGGAAACCGAAGACTTCACTGGACTTAGCGGAACCGGATTCACAGATCCGGTGTGACGAGGTTTCGGATCCCCGCCCGGTTCTGCAGCGTTGGGTAGGGCATTTCGTGAGGCTGAGAAAGACGGTGGCTGTACCAGATCTGGATTGAGGTCCGGCCCCTGGATATTGGGGAAGTCTGGCACTGCGAGTCCGTCGTCCATGGAGGCGCGGCTGTGTTTTCTCTGTGGTGGTCGTATCTCCTCGTCGCCGCGGACACCCCGCCCCGCGCCCAGCACGACACACGACTCAGAGCCCGGCGGGGGCCGA